AAACCCACCAACCACTCCTTGGAAGGAAGATTGGGCAATCTACTTCCGTAGTAATACCGCCTCGGAAACCCAAGGAGGGGTCACTATGAATCAGGTCCGACTCGACGGCACATAACAACAACAACAACAAAGAGGAGAAGTTCACTTTGAGAAAGGTAACCCGTTACTTTGAAAGTATACTTGGTTACAAGTGATACTAGAGTTGAAGCTTAGGAGGGCTCTAAAGGATAGATAGGTGGTTGATTGCTAGAGCACATATAAGAGAGCAATGTATCATGTATGAGCAATTTATATTTGATCTGAACTAGGGTCTTTATTAGTACTTAGTTTTGTCCTCCTGGTGCTCTTTTATTAGATTGTGATCAGGAATGAATAAGACAGATTTAATATGAATATTAGTATGCTAACATTATTAAATACAAGATGTAAATAATGTGATTATGTAATTTGAAATATTCAAAATCATTTTTATTTATTCTTTGGCTTCATTCCAAACTGCTAGATAATAGAAGGAATGTGATTTCTTCACTTAGGGCTATTCTTAGAATGTACAAGAACTAGAGTTTCATGAGTTCCAAGTTATGTTTTTTGCTAAATTTGGTTTTGTTAATTTTTGTAGTGGTTATTTTTTTATGGCTTTGTGTTGCTTATCAAATATCTATAAGTCTGAAATAATGGCTACATGTTATAAATTATAGGGTAATCTGTTCACTAGACATTCCAGGAGATCTGGGATCCCAGATTGTAATACTAAGTGTTCAAGTAGATAACAAAGATGCAAGAATTAAGTCTGGTATAAGGCAATAGGGAAGATGGATCCTGTTGGACAGTGGAGAATAAATGCCCTGTCTAAACACTCAGATTCTAAAGAAAAATCTAGCGGGCATGATTCGCTCAGCAGTTTCCAGTTTGAGACCCCTCATCTTTATGTGTGTGTGTGTGTGTGTGTGAGATTTGGGTAAAAGTTTACAGAGCAAATTGGTTTCCCATTCAACAATCCATACACATTATCTTTGTGACATTCACTGAAATCCCCACTATGCAACAGCATTCTTCCCACTTCCTCCCCACTCCCACACATTCCCTTCCTCCTTCCTTCCCATCTCCTCTGCCTTTCTTGCTTTATTCCTGAGCAAATGCAGCCCTCTTGATCACATATGATTGATTGTTCTAATGAGTACATACCTTCCTAGTATTACAGTTCACCTTCTATAAGGAGCTTATCTAGGAGCTCTGGTGGCATACTACCTAAGGCATCTTGACTGCTAACCAGAAGGCTGGTGGTTCAAACCCACCAGCCACTCCTGAGAAAGAAGGTTGGGCAATCTACTTCCATAGTGATACTGCCTCAGAAACCCAAGGAGGGGTCGCTGTGAGTCAGATCCAACTCCACAGCAGTGAGCTATAGGCCTTATCTATCAATTGGATGGAAGTTGAGTTCAGTTCCCAGCTTTAGAGATGCCTAAGGGCCATAATCTTGGAGATTCCATCAATCTTCATATGACCAATAAACCTGGTCTTCTTTTTATCATTTCCCCCTGAATAATTTCTGATTGAAAATAAGAATATGGATTTTCTTCCCCTCTTATTCAAGTTTTGTTCTAAAACTTGAAGGTTTTGCATAATAGCCACTCTCATTTTTACCTTTTAAAAGAAGAAAATTGAACTTACAACTTTTATTTTATAAATGCATTTTATATTTTCATGCATGGGTATTTTGGAGATTTTGCATTGTATGTAATTTAATGCAAGGAACCTTACTACAGTGAACTTTAGAAATCAAGAACGTAAATAGATAATTGTAGAAAACACTCTAGTTTTGCTTGTTGCTGATAATAGCATTTTGGTTTTTTGTAAGCAGAGTGTGTAAACTCCTTTTCAGTTTTTAAAAATAAAAGTCAGTTGAAAAATAGTGTCAGGTAACTGAGCAGGTCTTTCTCACAGAGCTGTATGAAAACACAGCTCCTGTTTGCATGAGCAATCAGTGTGAGAGAGGAAGAGAAAGGATTTTATCCACAGGGCTCCTGCCTGTCTCCTGTTGCTTGTTTGCTAAACTTCACTTGACTGGAAGTTATTGATCCTAGGCTTTAAGGTAACATTCCCTAGATCCTTGGGATGCAAGTGGGGCCAGAAACTCAGCATGGGGCTGGTAGGCCCAGCTGTAGAGCAACAGTAAAGGAGTTGACTACAGGTGGTGGGATCAAAGGAATTTGAGTTGTGTATCCCGTGGAATATTGTTTCATATTTTAAAGAATTCTACTAGATACACTGTAAACAGCATTGGACATAGACCCTTCTCTTTACTTTCCCTGCTGACATGCTCTTAGGCCCTGAGAAAATTCTCATCTCATTCCTGTCATCTAGATGCCCACCAGTGATTCACTGCTGACCACCAATGTCTGCTGTCATCCCTGCAGCCTAGTGTCTACCAGTTAAATGTACCATTAAAGATCTGGTAATTCTGGCTCCGCATTTGCATGTCCCATCGTATGATACATCTCCTCCTGTTCTGTATGTCCCAGCACTCAGGAAGAGGTTTCTACTTTATTTCTTAAAATCCTAGCTTGTTCCTATGAGGCTTCCTTCATGGATGCAGATTCATTTTCTCTGCCATCCACCCTTGTTCTGAACAGCCCTAGGCTTCTCAAACAGAAACCTTGCCTCTGAACTTGGTTGGATGCCTGGGGCTTTCTCGGGAGTAGAACTGACTTCCTAGACAATATCAACTTGACCCAGCTTCATTTCCTTCTATGCCACTTGCCTGGTTATAAGCTCACTTCCTATTTTTGAAAATCACAGGCATAACTACTGCTTGACTAATATGCCTTTCTCCTTTGGCTGCCCTACCATAGCTTTCCTCCCACAAGCAGAGTCTACAGATGGTTCAGTTGCAAATGCATGTCCTGGCCCAACATTTGGGGTTTCTGCCAGCTCCAGGATCTTTCCTCTGGCCCTGCATCCTGTAACAATGAAAC